ACTGTATGGCCCTGCCAGAGTTGAAAGAATTGAAGGAATGGTTGCAAAATTTGCTTGATAAGAGCTTTATTAGACCTAGTGTCTCGCTCTGGGTGCGCCAGTGTTGTTTGTTAAGAAGAAGGATGGATCGATGAGGATGTGCATAGATTGTCGGCAGTTGAACAAAGTCACCATCAAGAACAAGTATCCATTGCTGAGGATTGATGACTTATTTGATCAGCTTCAGGGTGCCAAGGTGTTTTCGAAGATTGATTTGAGATCGGGCTACCATCAGTTGAGGATTAGGGCATCTGATGTCCCTAAGACAGCTTTTCGCACTCGGTACGGGCATTATGAGTTTTTAGTGATGTCATTTGGGTTGACTAATGCCCCAGCAACATTTATGGATTTGATGAACCGGGTGTTCAAGCCCTATCTATATTCCTTTGTGATTGTTTTCATTGATGATATCTTGATATACTCTCGCAGCCGAGAGGAGCACGAGCAGTATCTTCGGATCGTTCTTCAGACTCTGAGAGACAGTCAGCTATGTGCTAAGTTTTCGAAATGTGAGTTTTGGTTGAGTTCAGTTGCTTTCTTGGATCACGTTGTATCAGCAGAGGGTATTCAGGTGGATCTTAAGAAGATTGAGGCAGTCAAGGACTGGCCTAGACCCACATCAGCTACAGAGATTCGGAGTTTCGTGGGTTTGGCGGGTTATTACCATCGGTTTGTGGAGGGTTTTTCATCCATAGAAGCCCCGATGACCAGGTTGACCCAGAAGGGTGCCCCGTTTAGGTGTTCAGACGAGTGTGAGGCGAGCTTTCTGAAGTTCAAGACAGCTTTGACTACGGCGCCGGTGTTGGTGTTGCCCACAGGTTCAGGGCCATATACAGTATATTGTGACGCATCTCGTATTGGACTTGATGCGGTGTTGATGCAGAATGACAAGGTTATAGCATAAGCTTCACGGCAGTTGAAGATTCACGAGAAGAGTTATCCAGTTTATGACTTGGAGCTAGCAGTCATTATTCACGCGCTGAAGATCTCGAGGCATTATCTATTTGGCGTGTCGTGTGAGGTGTTCACAGATCATAAGAGTTTGCAGTATTTCTTCAAGCAGAAGGATCTCAACTTGAGGCAGAGAAGGTGGTTGGAGCTATTGAAAGACTATGATATCACCATCTTGTATCATCCCGGGAAGGCCAATGTGGTGGCCGATGCTTTGAGTAGGAAGTCGGCTAGTATGGGTAGCCTTGCGTATATTCCAGTCGGTGAGAGACCGCTTGCTTTGGATGTTCAAGCTTTGGCCAATCAGTTCGTGAGGTTGGATGTTTCTGAGTGCAGCCGTGTTCTAGCTTGTACAGTCGCTCGGTCTTCATTATTTGAGCGTATCAGAGATCGGCAGTATGATGATCCTCATTTTCTTGTTCTTAGGGACATAGTACGGCACGGAGGTGCCAAGCAGGTTACAGTTAGAGATGATGGAGTTTTGAGGATGCATGGTCGAGTTTGTGTGCCTAATGTGGATGGACTTCGTGAGTTGATTCTAATGGAGGCCCATAGTTCCCGGTATGCTATTCATTCGGGCGCGGCCAAGATGTATCAGGACTTGCGGCAGCATTATTGGTGGAGGAGGATGAAGAAGGATATTGTTGCATATGTAGCGCGATGTTTAAATTGTCAGCAAGTAAAGTACGAGCATCAGAGACCTGGTGGTTTGCTTTAGAAGATTGAGATTCCTGAGTGAAAGTGGGAGCGTATCACTATGGATTTCGTTGTTGGACTCCCACGGACTCAGAGGAAGTTTGATGCAGTGTGGGTTATTGTGTATAGGCTGACTAAGTCAGCGCATTTCATTACTGTGGCGGTTTTCTATTCTTCAGAGCGGTTGGCAGAGATCTATATCGTTCGTCTTCATGGTGTGCCCGTGTCTGTCATTTCTGACCGAGGTACGCAGTTTACCTTGCATTTCTGGAGCGCAGTACATCGTGAGTTGGGTACGCGGGTCGAGTTGAGCACAACATTTCATCCGCAGGCGGACGGACAGTCCGAGCGTACTATTCATATTTTGGAGGATATGCTTCGCGCCTATGTTATTGACTTTAGAGGTTCTTGGGATCAGTTCTTGCTGTTAGTGGAGTTTGCCTACAACAACAGCTATCAGTCGAGCATCCAGATGGCTCCCTATGAGGCAATTTCTGTGCAGACAGTGTCGATCGCCAGTTGGGTGGTTTGACTCGGGGGAGGCTCAGTTATTGGGTACAGATCTAGTGCAGGATGCCTTGGATAAGGTTGAGATCATTCAAGATAGACTTCGTACAGCTCAGTCCAGGCAAAAGAGTTATGCCGACCGTAAGGTTCGTGATGTGGCATTCATGGTCGGAGAGCGAGTGGTGCTTCAAGTGTCGCTCATGAAGGGCGTGATGAGATTTGGGAAGAAGGGCAAGCTAAGCCCCTGGTTTATCGGGCTTTTTGAGATTCTCGATCGAGTGGGAGAGGTGGCTTACAGACTTGCGTAGCCGCCGGGTTTATCAACTGTGCATCTAGTGTTTCATGTGTCCATGCTTCGAAAGTATCACGGCAATCCATCCCACATGTTAGACTTCAGCACTGTCCAGTTGGACAAGGATTTGACCTACGAGGAGGAGCCGGTAGCTATTCTAGACCGGCAAGTTCGATAGTTGAGATTGAAGAGTTACCCTTCGGTTCGTGTGCAGTGGAGAGGCCAGCCTGTTGAGGCAGCTACCTGGGAGTCCGATTCCGATATGCGGAGCAGATATCCCCATCTTTTCACCGACTCAGGTACTTTTCTATGTTCGCTCGAGGACGAACGGTTGTTTTAGAGATGGAGAATGTGATGATCTAAAAGGTCATCTTCTATTTTAGAATCCGATTCCATGTTCCGAGGCCTTCAAAACCCTATTTTATCTCTCCTCGATTTGTGTTCGCAGGCCGAACGCGTATCCGGAAAGCCCTTATGTGAAAAACTTAAGAAAAGATGATTTTTGGCTTAAAAAGATGATTTGAGTTGACTTCGGTCAACATTTTAGGTAAACCGGCCCGGACCCGTATTCCAACGGTCCCGGAGGGTCCGTAGTAAAATATAGGACCTGGCGTATGCCCGGAATTGAATTCCGAGGTCCCTAGCCCGAGAAATAAATTTTTGAAGAAAATTGATAAGATTGAAAATGTAATAATTTAAAAGATTTGATCTTGTTGGTATCGGGCCCGTATTTTGGTTCCGGAGCCCGGTACAGGTCCGTTATGATATTTAAACCATATCTATGAAATTTGGTGAAAAATGGAAGTGATTTGATGTGATTCGGACCTTTGGTTGAGAAAATAGAAAGTTTGAAACTATCTTGAAAATTTCATGTGTTTTGGTGTTGAATTCATAGTTCTAGAGGTTATTTTGGTGATTTGATTGCGCGAGCAAGTTCGTATGATGTTTTAAGACTTGTGTGCATGTTTGGTTTGGAGCCCCGAGGGCTCGGGTGAATTTTGGTTAGGCTACGGAGTGATTGAAACTTAGAAAAATAGTTTGTATTGTCACACCTCCTTTTTTACACACCTACCCCGAAGGATAGTGTATAAGGGAGTTTTTCCATTTGAAGTGACATTATTCGAAACGGGATTATTTATTTATTTTTTAGAGTCGCCACTTGGGATAGGATTGGCTTTTGGTGTCCCAAGTCACCGGTTTAACTTGATTCCCAGATCGAGGAAAATTTCGACTTCCCATTTGGAGTCTGCGAACCAGAAATTCTGAATAAGGAATTCTGTTGACCCGAGGGAAGGTGTTAGGCACCCCCGGATCCCGTGGTTCTAGCACGGTCGCTTAAATTATTATAATTGGCTAAAAATCTGATTTTAATACATGTTTTAACTTATGTGCTTTTTAACTTTAAACGCTTTTATTATTATTTTAAAAGAGAATTGCAACGTCGTGAAAACGCGTCTTTAACCACGTCACATAAATGCACCCGTGATTTTTGACACATTCCGACTTCGTTGAGATTTGAATTTGGGTCACATAAATGCACACCCGAGTTTAAGAAAATTAATTTAAATTGCGCGCCTAAAGCAACTACGCACTTTCAAGTTTGCGAGGGCCATGGAAAATTCACTAATGGCACACCTCGATTTCTAAAGAGTTAAAATTAATTAAGTGAGGACCATGGGTTTTGGGATTTTATTCAACATGGCACACCTCAATTTCTAGAAGGCTTGTTTAATTAAGGTAATAAGAGGACAATCCTACTCATAACTATTTCAGATTTAAGCTATTGATTATGGGAAAATTAGTTTTGTAATTACTTTTGGCAAAATATAACTATCATAGAACACAGTATCGATCATTTTGTTAAGGCTAAACTAATGACCTGATTCTATTTCCAATAATCAAACAATCTCCAAATCCCATTATTCTGTTCAATCACAATGTTGAAATATAGAACTAAAATCCATTGAAAGGTCAATATACTCAACAACACATATTTGGATTGCTGACACAAGGAAGAGGGATGAAGCATCACATAAAAAAAAATATCTACTGCTAAAAGACAAACAACTAGCCCAATTTAAACATCTTAGACAAATGAGATCATATTAAAATCAATTACAACCCATATTGCATTAACGAACTGATTCACTTCATACGCTAACCCATTTAGCACATACGGGCTGAGAAAGAGAAATCGAAGACGATGTAACTGAGGAAACGCGATGTTATTACTTAAAATCCTAGCCGAATTTCTACAAGAATTGGAATATTCTTTTTTATTTTTATCAACTTCTCATGAACTTCATAATAACAGATAAGGTCAAACAATTTCTCTGCTCAACAACTCAACCCACTGCCAGTGAGTGTATTAAGAATCCAAAGGCAATCACATGAGAATAAGTGAAGAAGTAAAGCATCAATAACATTTGAGATTGACATTAATCATGGAAGCAACATGTAATCAGAACTTCAAATTAATAACTTAACTGGAACACACAAAGTTATAGTTACATACCAATCTATCCGAAATCAGCCTGAAATCCAAAGACCAAATAAAGGCCAAAGACAATCAAGCGTGAAAATCAGCCACTAGCCAGCGAGTGTTTAACAGCAGCAGTAGCAAAATTAACTCCAAACAACAGCAAGTGAACAAGCTCTGGCAGGAAACTTAAGATCTAACAATAGCAGAACAGTAGCGAACAACAGTTTCGTCGCTTCACGCTAGAAGTTACGAAGCAGAGAAACGGAAATTGAGACAGTGAAGAAGCGAAGTCGGATGGGAGGTGCTGCTCGTGTGCATCTGTGTGCTCGAATTTCCGGCGAGTTTTTGGACTGAGCGGCAGATTTGCGAGGAGGGAGTGGGGAATATGGGAGATTCAGAGGTGAGTGAGGGTAGTTGGTTGTTCTCTATCAGGAAAAGGAGAGGGATCTGTTGTGTTTGTCTTCTTTCATTTGATGAAAAGAAAAAATGACCATGGGAGATGGGGCGCTGATGATCCAGGTGGGGTCTTTCCAAAATCTGATCTATTTTTGTGCCTTAGCTCACCTATTATGCGAGGATTAGGGCAAAGGGTAATGGGTATTTGGGTAGGGAGATTGGGCTTTGAGTGGGTTATTGAATTTTGGCAGATTTGGGTATAGGCTTTGGGCTCAGCATTAATTTTGGCCCAATTTCACAAGACAAACCTTTCTTTTCCAATTTTTTCTTTTATTTTCTAATTTTCCTTTTTCTTTTAATTAAAATCCTACAAATTAAAACTCCGAAATTATCCAAAATGTGAAATTAAACTAATTAGCTAATTATAAAAATTATAAAAACCACTTAATCCTAAATTGGAAGAGAAAAAATCAATAAAAGGAAAAAGTGTAAAAATGAAGCATTTTTGTGATTTTCGATTTTTATATTAAAAAAAATAACTACTAATTAATCCTAAAAATATAAAGATAAAGCCTAAATGCCATGCATTATATTTTTGGTATTTTTCATGATTTAACTAAAACTTAAACATGCACAAAATGCAAACAATTAAAAATTCTACAAAAATCCTAAAATGGCAAATAATTAACAAAAATCTATTTTTCTTGGGATTTTATAGGAGTATTTCGTATAGGGCAAAAATCACGTGCTTACAGTAGTTAATAGTTAAAATTGATTTTATAATACCTCATCCTTATAGGCATGTCATCTAAGTGTGGCAATGTGATGAAGTGACAAAGTAATTGATTAGTTGATTAAAATTCTATAGTCATGATATCTAAAGGAGAAGCGTACTAAGAGCAATAGAAGCAATTGATTGATTGATTAATTGAAATCCTATAGACATGGTATCTAGATATGCATTAGCAAAACATGTGTTATCGTATCCTATAGGCATGTTGTCTAAGTGTGCACAATAGTAAGCCTGAAACAAGTATAGCAAATACTTAAACGTGATTTAGATAGGTTGAGTGAAGTGTGTGCGATTTCCTATAAGCATGATTTCTATGAGTGTGCAGAATAAGAACACGTCAATGAATATCAGACAAGACAGTTAAATCCTAGAGGCAAGTTTTCTACCCGTTCATGCGAGAATCAGAATACCCCAACCCCCTTTTCACTGATTTCGCCATTATTTGTTATTACAAGTTATTACAGGCCCAAGAAGAAATAATAGATGATGACAAATTACAGTTTGAACGAGTACAAGCCCAATGAGGTAAATACAGGCCCAATATAGAAATAACCCAGGGATGTCCCCACGCCTTCAATGGTCTTAATCTTCGCACAACAGCAAACCCATACACTGGCTTACCATAGCTACCTGAGTTGCATGCTCAAACCCAACATGTATGGCCCAACACTAGGCCTAACGAATAACTTACTTACCCAAACATATACCAAATTCAGCCATACAGGTGACATAATACTCACAGAATTAACTAAACAACTTAAACACTTAGTTATTACAGTTGTAGCTAACAACAACTCTAGCCAAGACATATAAATAGGTACTGGCTAAATTTAAAGGCACACAAGGCATATATAAGGCAAGTTTATGCTTGTAATTCCAGAAATAAAGCTTAATAATGACATGATGGACCACCATAGGATAGTAAACCATTCTAAAGAGTGTCAAAATAAATCATGATTCAGAATCAACCTAGAGAACCTTAGATGAGGGTCTTGCAGAATCGGATAAGAAACAAGCAAAGCACGACCATCACATGAAAGTATCTATCATGAAACACCTAATGAAAGGAACAACATAAAAAGTTCATGATCAAAGCAAATACTTAATTAAGTAGGGGAAAACATTAGCATGTTGAAAATCAGTCACAATATAAGAGGCATGTCAATTTTCAAAAGCAAGACATGCAAGCATTAGACCTGGTGCTAGTTGGCCACGTATAGGAGGAGAGGCTAGTTATTTCATCCTAAAGTCTTAGGTTGTATTAGAGAACATAGGATTGAAGACCAAAATTCAGAGAGCAAACATTAAGTAGCAGGAAAGCCTGCTTGGCATGGAATTATGATCAAGTATCAGTTTTAGGAAATGTCAAGTTGCGCATGAATGATTCCATAGGGATTGGAGCACATTTCGGGCTTGAATTGGTTTAATCACAAGAGTTCACAATAAGGCAGGGAAGTAAACTCATGCCAGGCAGCATATACAAGCATTCAGGCACAAACACACTAGGATTAACGAGCTTGAGAGAGCCCAAAAATCATTCATATTGAACACATGTAATAGACATATATCAGGGTTGGGAATTTTAGGCAAGTTCAAATGCTAAAAAAATTCAGAGTCACAAAACAACTTCAAAGCCAATAAGGTTGCAAACAGAGATAGCATAGAAACATATTGATTCACAAAAGTTTCAGTGACATGAGTATATAGAGTATGAACACAAACGAAAGAGGATGAAACTGCGAATGCCAAAGAACTTACCGATTATCAATTGACAAACAAATAAACAAGAAGAACAATCTTAGCAGTCCTCCAAACGCCAATAGAGAGCAGTAGAAACCATAATCTTAGTGCGTCAGAGTTTCCAAGGGTTTCAGATGAACCCCGGGCAGTGCTCGCACCAAGAAAGGTCAATTGGCCAAATTCTGGTGGCCTTGGCTTTCAGCTGGCCAAGAGCCAAAGTTCAGAACAACATAGAGTGAAGGAGTAAGATAGTAATAGTGATTAATGTCCATCCTTGGGGAATTTGGGGGAGGGTTTATATAGTGTTGAATCAGGCAAGTAAACAAGGAAAGAAATCAAGCAAACATAAATCAGAAAAAGAAAAATATTACATACAATCAGTAGAGTAGCTGGTGAAGGAAAAAAAATCAAATTTCAAAACCCTAATTAGGGTTCCTGGGTCGCAAGCGAGCAAGTAAAGGCGAGAATCACCCTTTTCTCTCATGTATATGGACACAATATCGTCCAAATTCAATAGATCAAAGTCGATCTAGTCCGAACTCAGAAGGTCATACTTGCCAAAATCGAGCAAGTACTCAAGTAATTCCACAGACACGTACATAATAGCGAGGTATTACGAATAAGGTAAGTGAATCACAAAATGATTTCATATTTAAGGTCGGAATCAGAGAATATTAGGGGAGGCGACTGCTAGGGTTTCTTAGAAGAGAAGGCTGAGTTGAGAGTGTTTTGGGGCAGCCGTTTGGGAGGTAATTAGGGTTTAAGGGGTTTAGGTAACAAAAATAAGGGGGATGTTGTGGACGTTGATTAAAGATCAACGACTAGGATTTAATGAGTGGCGGATCGGGTTAGCGGATGGGTTTTGGGTAGTGGATTGCTGGTATTGTGTAAGGGGTTATTGGGCTGAGGTTTTGGGTACTTGGGCCTTCAATTTGGTCCGAAAAATTGGCTTAGGATTGGGCTGGCTTTTTATTATGAGAAATTAAGGGAAAATAATTTAATAAAATAGTTAAATAAAATATAAAAAATACTATTTATGAAACTTAATACTTTAAAATAATAGTTGAAGATTTTAAGAATATTAAAAAAATTAGTTTGACCCTAAATAAAATGATAAATGCAATTAATTGTAGAGTATAAGCTATTATTGCAAAATTGTAAATAGCTTGAAAATACAAATGTATTATATAAAATGAAGTGGAATATTACAAAAAATTACATATGGGGGTAAATAATAAATTTTTGATGATTAGATCACCCAAAAATAATTTGAAGGGACGATTAATACATATTTGAATAATTTAAATGCAAGAAAATCAATTTTAAAGCTTTAAATATTATTAAAAAAATTATAGGAATTACTTATATGACTCTTGTAAATTGGTGATGATGCAAAAAATGATATTGTGAGAGTATATATGATATTTATAAAAAATATGAGGGCAAGCTTGGGTATCAACAAGCGGTGTCTTGGAAATCATCCAAACAAACTTGTATTGCTCGTTCTACAATGGAGGCTGAGTTCATAGCCTTAGATAAAGTCGGTGAAAAGCTGAATTGCTCTGAAATTTCTTGGAAGATATTCCATTTTGGCTGGCACCAATATGCATACATTGCAATAGTTGATGAGCGCAAAACACAATACGAAATTGATGCTCGCTAGCCAAAGATAGTATAGTTTAATTATCGTCTCCACGGTGATTGGATTTAAATAATGTTCAAGTAACTTCTGATTTAACGCTATTCAAGATGAGTAACACTTTGGTTTGAAGAATTATGAACTAAATTTAACTATTCCACTAACACGATTAACAACTGATCACAGAGAACTGGAATTGAGCAACACAGAAAAAGCAGGGGGAGACATAAGGGTCATGACATGATAGATATTCAGGATCTAACTCTAGTTCAATTCACTCTGATGTTCTAATGATTCTCACGAATTCACTCGATGATTAGTTCAATCACATAGCCAATACTCCTCTCTCTCAATTAAATCTTAACCCTATGAGGTGAACTAATATAAAACATTGTGAAAATATGCAAGAACGCGTTAATAGACTAGTATTTAGGAAAATGTCTATCGAATATTCTCCTAACTTGATTTAATCAACAATTCAATAAGCTCTTTTGATTACTTTAAAGAGTCAAAATATTAAACCAGACAAGATAATACAAGGATAATCACCCAAAATATTCCTTTTCGGATTAAACAATTCGGTGACCGAACAATCAATTCACAGCTCCATAAACGAATTCATGCTAAGAACTAGAGTTAAAATTCACAAATATCAATCAAAAACCATACCCGTCAAACCCTAAGGTAAACTACTGCATAATCATGGAGAAAGTCATCACAAATAAAGTTGAAGAATAAGAAAACATGAAGTCAATCCAAACTCGGTGTTGAGTTTAGGAAAGAACGATGAATCCTTGTGCTTTGAATCTCCAATGCTCTTCTAATATTCTGTATGTCCAAAAATCCCACCAAAAATGTGTTTTTAGTGTACCTATACTGTGTAGATGTGGGTCTAGATGAAACAACCCTTTCCAAGCTGAAACAGAAAAATACTCTGTAAAAATTGCACAGGCGAGCCGTAGGGCGCGCCACC